GTACTACATGTGGACCTCTCTCAGATTTGTTCATTTTGTAATGATATCTTTAATTCTCTAGTTTTGATGAATATTTTTGTAATTTTTGGTAAAAAGTGATATTTTTGAATTCTTGTTGAAAACAGCAAGTCCAATTGCTTTGATATTACATATATAGGTACTACATGTGGACCTCTCTCAGATTTGTTCATTTTGTAATGATATCTTTAATTCTCTAATTTTGATGAATATTTTTGTAATTTTTGGTAAAAAGTGATATTTTTGAATTCTTGTTGAAAACCACAAGTCCAATTGCTTTGATATTACATATATAGGTACTACATGTGGACCTCTCTCAGATTTGTTTGTCAGTAGAGCTAATTTAGCATAACAATGAATACAATAGACATGATTAACATATTGTAGTGTTATGTAAATTAGCCGTTATTCTATGCTGTTTTTCTGGGAAGAACACTGGACTATCATTTGAGTCTGTCAATATGTATTTTTACGGAATCAGTTTTTAAAATTTAAACAAAAAATTTTTAAGATGACTTGCAGCTTTGTAAAACACTTTGGTTTTTGTTCACTCTAGACGCCATCTCATTGACATGCACACAGTTTAGTTCATTTCATTTTCATACTTGATGAAGGGTAAAGCGCAGTATTTTCAAAATGATATGCATTCATTAGAGTTGCATACAATGTAAATAATCCTAATGTTGATCACTCTATGAAATAATGAATCATAACACAGCACGCCATCTGTCACGCAACGTCGTCAAGTTACAAGCCATCTGAGCCATCATCTATCTGACTAACTATCCGACTGTCCGAATAATTCTCAGACTAAACAAGGAAGTAAAGAAAATCACTTTTACTTCTGCAAATTTTTTTTTCAATACGGTTCTTTTCTCTATTTCAGAAATGAGATTGGCAAATATGCAGTGTTCTGTCAAAGGTCATTGGAACGTACCATTCAGTGTGGAGGTAGAGAAGCAAAACCATCACGAATGGAAGTCCTGTCTCTGCTACTAAGAAATCCCTATCACCATTCCCTGCCAATGAGTATACCTGTCCATGTCTTGAATGCATCGTACCAGGTAGGATTCAAAACATATATTTCCCATTTTCTACAGGCAATGTGTAAAATTAATAACTGGCTTTCATTTTTGTGTTTCTTTATGTGTTCTCGTTAGTTTTAATAATCATATTGATTCTTATTTTTTAATAATTTTCATCTATCATTATCAACAATATTAAGTGTTATTGTTTATCGTTAACAAATCTGTCGTCATATTCACAGGTTGTTGGGTTTGATGGTCAAACAACAGTGAGAGAATTCATCCAGACACTGAATCACCACATTTCAATGCGCGATGTCAAACAATCAGGTTTTGCTTTATTTACTAACGATCCGTCCGGAAAAAATATAGAACACTGCTTACAGCTAAATGTCAAGGTAAATATCATTGATAAATGTATTGGTATTCCATGTTGATTTCTTAATGTCTTTATTCGTGGAGGTCTACTAGATAACTGGGTCATCAAATATTAAATATTCTACTTTTGATTTAGTTATGTGATGTAATATCGAAGTGGGAGAGGACCATGATAGAGACTGGTTTAGGAGGCGGAAAAACTGAAGCCCATAAAGCTATCCGATTGACATACAAAAATAGGTAAGCCCCAAACATTTATCAATATATGTATGTGTTGTCATTGCTTTACTCTAATCCCCCCATCAATTAGTTTTTGTCAGCACACACATCAGGGGTGGGGTGAGTCCATTGCCGAAATGTTGTGAAATGAACGAAAGACACGTCCCCACCCACACTATTATTGTGATTCTCAGGACCTGAATTATGGGGGGAGGGGGGGTCAACAAAATTAGGTTAGTAGGTCTAGGTTTAAAAAAAAATAAATATAGGTAGACAGATTTAGTGATGGGTGTGACTTGATTTGTTTTAGAATACATTATACAACCTGCTCGCATCATAAATCATATTGGATGGCCTTGTTGATTACGTCTTTAATGGACATATTATCTAATGTATATTTTCACTTAACAAGCTATGTTGAAGACACATTATATACTAAATCATTCGTTGCTATATGTTGTGTTAATTTCATGTAATGGACATTCATGTTATTCATATCTGACTAAATGTACATTTTCGTTTATTTAGACTTTATTTCCGAAGCAATACTAAAACTGAAACTGACAAAGAGAAGTTATTACTGGTCTACCAAACAAATCAAGACATAGTGTCCGGAAGGTTTCCCATCAACACAGAGTTAACCCTGGAATTAGCATCATTATTAGCACAGGTAGGAGATTGGAGAGTTTTTTTCTAAGATATCAAAAATCAGTTTCTTTTATGCTTATGTGTAACCAAACAAATGTTTTAAATCTCTCCTGTAACATACATTGTAGTGTCTTTTCCATGTGAGGACAACAAAAAACGCCTGAAAACTCACAGCAATAAGTTGACAAACAAATGAGTATTAAAATAAAAACTAAAATAGTGATAGGCGTATTTATAACTGTGGTCTCGAAATATTTATGCAAGGGCTTTGTTCAAGCAATAGACTTTTTTTGGATTTCACAACAAATCACCAATTGTCGCCACAAAATGACACAGTTGGAGATTAAACATGTCTATACACATTGACCACATTTGATCTCCTTCACCCTCTCTATCACATTCTATGATTAACTCAGTTCTAGTTTTAGTGAGATTTTGTAATCATGGAAAATGCTATGAGTGCAGATAAGTGAAGAATTTAGTATGCAGTTAGGTGGAACTATTGTCTAACCATGCAGTCTGCATGGTTAGATGGAACAACTACCTAACTATGTAGTTTGTACAGTTAGGCGGATCTGCTGATTAGATTTGCTGCTAGTACAAGTTAGGCGCATACCCATTTCATGTTTGTTTATTTCCTTGTCTTTCACAGATTGAGTATGGTGACTATAAACCAAGCAGTAAAAGTGTGGAATTTGTTATTGAGAAATTCTGTCCAAAGAGGTTACAGGATCTGACTGCAGATAAAAAAAAGTATGTAACACACCTATATATAAATCCCTTGTGCATCTATTTGTCAGGAGAATACATATAAAAAAAGGATGTGTACATTAGTTAGCTTGTTTGCCACACTTTATTTACTGCTTACTCAGCAGTAAAAACTAGAATACATTTTGCTTAAACCACCAAACACATGGCCTGGGAAAATGGCGTCCTGTAGAGATGGTCCTGTCCTGTGTGCAGTAAATTACAGAGTCATCTTCAGCAGATTTTTACTCGGGATAATGGCTCTTTTCGCTCATCACAGCTTCCATAAGCGCTAGAACTTTCGAATCCATAATTGAGGTCTTTGTCTGATGCATTGAGTAATAAATAAAAAAAATCTTTTAAGGCTACCCTTCTATGTTAAACTTGAATCCAGTTATAATATATTTTAGGGTCACAGTCCATCATAATTAAATGTTTTAATTGTTTTACAGACAATTAGAACGTAACTTGTTAGATAAATGGCTGTCTTTGAGTGGACGGAGCTTGATGGAATGTGTTCGTCTCTATCTGACTGTCACAAGAAAATTGCCGTTATTTTCCATGCAGTTGTTCAAAGCAAAGGTAAGCTTTTCTACTTAGAATTGTTGCATATTGGTTTTTTCTCTTTGACTCAATTACTTACTCCTAGGTTGTTATGTTTTGTGTATCTGTTGATAAATTCATGATCACTTTTGATTTATGTTTCAGTGTAAATACGGTAAACAACAGGAAGTGTGGATTGGTGTGAAGGATGATGGGATTTATATTCTGAATGTAAAAAACATGGTATGTACATGCTTGTACATTCTTGCAACTTGGTGTCCTGTGCAATACCAGAGTTGCAAATTGTCACAAAGTTTTCTGTTCATTATCTAATTCCATTCTAGAAAACATATGTTCCTGCAATAGTAATTTATTTTGATTTCAATTACTTAACCTTATCACCACAAGACTTTGTCGCCCCAATTTTTCTGCATTTTTTTTCTTATTTTCTTCAATATTTCTGGAATAAACCCTAATTTTGGAGCCACAGACAAAATTTCAGTTAATTTTCAGTTTTTACTCAAAAAATTTGGCTATTTTTGTCCCAATCTTCTGAAGGGACTATTTTGTGATGAAAAGAAGGAACTGGTAGTGAAAAGGTTAATCAATTGAGCTGGATAAATGTTTCAGCTATCTGAAGTCTTTATGTTTACCGTAACTGTTTTTTTTCCTTAACATAGGATGTATTGGAAAGTTACACTTACAAATCTGTGGAGTCGTTCGGTGGATGTCGAGATGATTTTATGTTGATTCCCAGTAACCAATCAAAACTGCTGTTTTCCATGACAAAACCCAAGGTGAGTTATTCTCCTTGTAGATAAATATCGTAGTCATATCCATAATCTTTGTTTCTATGGAAACTGCTAATATCTCGTTTCAAATGTCATAACAACATTCTAGTGTCGTTTAATTTCATATTTTTCCACTCATTGTTTTTTTTTTTCAATTTAATTTTCTAAAATAGATAATTGATTTGACTAATCTGTTATCAAGTTACATCAATGCCGTACATGGTATCTAAGCAACAAGGAAAGATGCACCCACCAATGAAACCAATTACATGTAACTACCCGGTATCGGTGTGTCAAACTGGCAGCTATTACCATTGTATATTAAAGACATTGAGGCTGGACGCCATGGCAACTCACCATTTGAGATATTTATCTTGTACAGTACTACAACAATAAGTCTTTATTTATTCACTATTTATTTGTTGTTTTTTTTTAAATATAAATGTCTTTACAACACGTCATGTGTGTGTCCTCGCTAGTGACTGTAACAATATATTTAAGACAATAAAGTGTATAATCTGTTTAGGATTTAAGATAATATAAGAATTAATGATAGAAGTGTAACTTGTATATTTCAATGAATGTCATTTTTTTCTATTTATGCTTCTTTCATTATGGAGGGGAGGGGAGGGGGGTATTGCGATTACACATACAGATCTATTTATACATGTATATTATTTATTTGTGTATTTACTTTGTATATTGTATTTTAATTCTATGACTTTTCGAAAGACATTAATGGTAGCGACAGAGGGGGACCTAAATAAAGACATTTTGTGAATCATGCTCACTCTGTGTTTTGGCTAATTCTAGATTTAACTAATGCGGTGAAAAATCTGTTATTGTGTAATTATTATCACTTTAGCTAAATTAAGGCTCTGTTAATTAGTATTTTAAATTGTTTGACTAAATTTATTTTAGGTGTGCATATTCTGTTTTCATAATGTGAAACTTGTTTAGACGCCCAACACCACTTAAATGTATACAAGGTCTATGACAGATTTGTTCTCTTGTTGCAGTATTATAACGACAGCTTGCATTACCTTGCAGAACAAACTGACACAATCGTTATTGAATGATAACGAAACATCTGAAAAAGTTGTGTAAAGTTAAAAGATTTTCCAAAACTTTCTGAAATATATACGATGCTATAGTTTCATGTTTAGTCAGTTATAGTGAATGTTTATTTATGTAATTTCTCCTTTGCTGCTACCAATACCCAATGTCTTTTTTACAGTGCACATTATTTAAATGAAATATATGATCAATGGTGCATCAACTTAACTAATTAAGGCATGCTCCTGACTGACCATACAAACTGGGAACTGCCATATTTCTTACTGAGTGACCTCAGTGTTCAATCCTGTTATAGGAAGAATATTTCCCACCAGAATTTGGATACAAAAATTTTCTGTTATTTTTTTTTTCATATGTTATTTTTGCCATGAGCAAACAGAGTAATATATTTGCCTATAGATAATTTTGAACTTTGTTTACAAGTTGGCAATAGCAATTCTCCTAAAGCATTTTTTTTACGAATACTGATATATGCTGAAAGTGGATTTTACTGTGAACTTTTTTTGTGTTTTATTCAACCCGGTGAAATGTACATGCCTACAATTTAATGTGTAATTAGAGAAATAATCTTTGTGTCAACATTCTTGAACTTCGAAAAAAGGTTTGTGTGATTCTAGCATTGTATACATGCAAATACCAGTAAGAGAAGTAACTTTTTGTAGGAACATTTGTCACTTGTTTATGTTGAATCACGAATGGTAAAAGCAACAGTGTGAAGTGTAACAAAAAAGCAATGTTTATAATCTTTATATCGGTTGGCATCAGACTTTATTTACTTGTTTATATCTGATTTTTTTTTTTATCCTGTAAAAAATATGCTACGTGAAAATGTGTGTACTGTCACATGACTTCAATAAAGCTGCATCTCTGCGCAGTGTCCAATGTTTGCATTTATGTATACGTGTCAGTGTATTATTTGTGTTGTTGATGGCAGACAAAATAAAATATTTGTTTGATAACAAAGTCATAATGAGCGCCTTCAATAATGGACTGATTAGGGGACGATATAACACAAGTCTAGAAATAACTAGCTTCCCATTTTCTTTACAATTTGGGTGAAGTTTGATCGTGGGTATACAGATGTACGAGTATGAAATCCTTGATTATGAAGTGTTGCCCCAAACCCAAATAGAATTTGTCTTGTTGCCAGCATCAATTCACATGGCATCAAAGTATTTTGAAGTTTTTAGTGGATTAAGACAGAAATTGGAGGAAAAATTATTTCACGTAATTTGAGAAACTTCATACATGTACATGCATTAGTGATTATTTGATTTAAAATTAATTAAAACAAAGTAAAATAATAGTAATAAGGCTAATAGTTGTATTCTTATAGCTGTCTTCACTTTATGACTGAAATTAAAGCTACAAACGAGCACCCACATTTACAATGTCACAATATTGCCGTTGGTGGCGGTAACATCCAAACACGTTTCATTAAGTTGTTCACGTTTTAGTTTTCCAATCTCCATCTGTTACAGACGACAATGTTAAACATTTTAAACTTATTTTTGTTTTTAATAAAGGCATTAAGTCAACACGAGAAAAATAGCGACTTCTCAAATTGTAATTTGGAATAATTCACCACCGTACTGAAAGAAAATTGAAGCAATACCCTGGTACTGGTAAAAAAAAAAACGTGAAAACTGACTTGGCTGAAAACTCCACTAGATATACTAGTCCGCCATTTCGGTTTTCACTAAAGTCCCGCTCTCAAATGCAAGACATGGTTACCGTCATCAAAATACAAACACATCATCCCAGCAAAAAGTGTTGAAAATACATCTTGCACGGGCGCCATCTATAGACATGATTTGGAAATTCATTTAAATAATAACCGCCGAAAACGAACGTATCTCTACTTTGCTTGATAGTGCATATAAATATGTGCGCTGGGGGATTTGACGCGGAGAACAACGAGGATCAACTCAGTTTTAGTTTTATCGACTTCATATCATATATATATATATAGTCCCCGGAGATTCTATTTGATATAACACCCTGAATAAGTGAAGATACACTCAGTTCATACTGTTCACGAATATTCATAATATTATGCAAATTTTGAGTATAACATTCCACGATTCGTACGTAGGCGTGATGCATTCACATATGACGTAATAACAGCTCTGGGGTTTCTTTATAGCATATTCCATTTGAAAAAAGGAACAGAGTGCATGTTCTCATAACGAAATTCATGTAGGGATGTCGCCGGGAAAGTCCATAAATGTTCTTTAAAATATGACGCTCTCTCAAAATGTATACTTATAATTTTGTATCTGTATAAAGTCAAAACACCTCGTACGCGAGTTTTTCTGGGATATAAAGAAAAAAACTTTCTCTTCATTGCACTTGTACATTTTATTTTCTCCAAAGTTGCGGTTAGGTCTGTGTCCCCATATACTCCCCCCCCCATCAGTGTAACACGTATGTAAAAATAAAAAAATTACAATATTTTTACTTTCCCATGCAAAAAATGTACATAGCAATACGCAACATAATGGAACTATAGCTTCTAAACAGCTCTAATTACCACAGCAACAAGTACTCTCATAGTGTAAACTTCATCCCCCGTCAACGTTGCGAAATATCAAACATAAAAACGAAACTACCATAACCGAAGAGAGTAATTACGAATGCGGGTTGGTGTTTTGTAATGTTTACGTGAACATTCTGTCAAAATGTATAAACATGACTGATGGAAAGTTCTAGTTTGCGCCCTCTAGTGGCAATATATAGTGTAGGACTTATCCATAAGTTTGGCCATGTGACCCACCCAGTTGGTTTAATAGAACACGCTCATGCGATTAAAAGAACTCTGAAATGTGACTTTATATCCCCGAGTTTCTTAAATATACTACGAAAAAAACATAAAATTGAAAGATTCAGTGATCGGTTGCATTGCCAGTACATAAATAGAAAAGATTTATTGTACGTTTGAATTTGAATAATTCAAAGCATACCACTCTACATGAAACTTTTAATTCCAGTTTTCCCAGATCCTCCATCGGAAATCGCAATAGCTCAGTCGTTAGAGGTCCTACCAGCTGTGGTTGATGTTGTGGGCCGGAACCTCTTGTCCAACTTTTCCAAACAGTTGAGGAAGAACTATACTAGTAATAGTATCACCTCGTCAACTACAAATGTTGCAGCTTAACTGATGCTGCAGTCTCAGCTAAGATGCAAGGACTAAATTTACAATAGCGGTTTACAAAATTATTCAGTTACTTCGAATTTCTCGTGGCGTTTCTGATACAATGAAAAACGCAGTTGTTAGCCCCTGATGGAAAATTTGACAGGGTTGAAAAAAAATCTACATTTTCTTTGTACCCCCCCCCCTCCCTCATGATTGAAAACACACCACTGTCATAGACGATATGGAGTCCATGATACAAAGTATGTTTCTTCGGATGGAAAAACAGACACTTTTATTCGAATGAACAAACGAAATCTTCATATTTTCTCTCTTTTTTTGGCACGAGTTTTTAATCTCTATAATACATTGCGATTCGAACGTTACCGATGTCAACGCCCAACAAATTGCAGACAAAGCGGTTCTTTCGCTGACGTCATCGCTACGTCACTGAAAAAATACGTCACAGAGGTTACGATCGAAAAACTGCAAATGCCACGCACATGTAATGTGATATATATATTTATTTGCTTGAGTTACATTCAAACATATAAAATGTATTTTTAATACATTCAAATAGTGTGATTTTTAATTTTTTTCATAAACACCCGTCGCTCATCTCTTCCCTCATTAGGCAATATAATTAGTCGTTATTTCAGAATTGATAGCCACTATCATTGTCGGATAATTATTCAACCGTAACGCTATTGACAAGTTTTACTCATTCAAGGAGGAGCAAATTAAATTACAAAAAACGCCATCTAGATCTCCACCGACCAACGCAGATGTTTGTTTCATTGTTTTCTCGGGCATGTCCTCTCCATTATTGTTGCCATGGCTACCGGTGATGCTGTTCACTAACCGCTCTGTCATGTCGTCCGTGATCATTGCCGCACTGCAATCGGAATCAATATCAGGCTCCATATAAAAATATGATGACACTGGGGTCCCCATTAAACGATTGTCATAGTGATGGCAATAATGAATACGTTTCCTAGGCAACCCATAGTGGATATGTCTTTCATCCCGTAGTTCATTGTGAATTCGCTTTACTACATTATTTATGAGAACTGAACGCCGCAGGAAAATCTCGGGATCTTCAGTTTGATTCAGTTTCTCAATGGAAATTCTTAAAATATGCATACGATCCATCACACCTCTATTTGTGTCAAAAAAATGTCTATCACCACCAATAGCAACGTCGTCGTCGTCATCTTCCTCCTCGTCCAGTTTTCTTTTCGCCGTAAATCTAAAACAGTTAGGATCGTCTTGCTCCCTGTGGTGTACGTGTCCATATACTTCGTTTATTTGCAGAGAGGCATCTGTAAAATCATGTGTAATAAATAATTACATCTCAATAAAAAAATCGATGAAAATGCAATCAGCAGCGAGTAAGCCAAGGCTGGTGTTTCCATTGTCTGACACCACCTCTTTTATCATACAATATACATAGTACTATAATGTTATATAATGCTCATAAAATGGTTATATTATATTATAACCACGATATAAAGCGAGAGTAATAAACGTAATATTATATTTTTTATTATTCGAAAAGAGGCAACCAATATGTCTATATGAACCATTCTCCCTTCGTATCACATGAACAGGATCATATTACACAGCGTCGTACTGTGTAACGTAAATTAATTCAATTTAATTTAACGCACAAGAAAAATAAATAAATTAGTATTATTATCATTATTATATACGATCTTGTCATGAAATTTGGTAAAATACTTCATAGTACGTGCCGTAGCTCGCGGACTCCGATATAATCGGATACAATCAGAATATTATTGACATTGGAATGTACGTGTTTGCTTTATCATATTAGTGACACATGAATAGAGCTGTGCTTATTATTAGTATTACCGCACATGCAATAATCAAGTTTTAAACATATTCACGTGTTAGCTTATTACGTAACCATACTCGTATCGTAATTGTGATATGCACTAATTAATATTCAAGAACTGTGACAAATGTGTATTAAAATCCCTCAACTGCACTAGTCAGTCAACTAGTTAGGTCAACAACGCGCGTATTTTCAAGTGTAATTTACCTACCGGTTTTTAATTCCAGCTCTTCAACTGAACTATTATCTTTGAGATTATCGTGGCTTTTCAAGTACATTTTATTGTAGTCATGTGGTAAGTAATTATCGTCGTCTGCTTCACGGAGCGTGGCTGTCGGCACCGCAGATACAACAGTGCATTGTTCGTCAAGGCCATACGTTCTGGGCGATACGTTACAAATGCTTGTCATGGCAAGACCGACCAAAGTCATAATGCCCCCTCTTGTTTTCTTAGAACGATCGAGCAGGTGCGAAAGGCCAATTTATTCGTTCATCTTGAAAGATTCCCAGCAGCAGAATACGCACCGCACCGGCAATGAGGTTTATATAGGAAATCACCGCTGGCAAAGTAACGCCAGCACGCTCTCGTCAAATCTGCTACGGTGAAATGTTTCGGATCTGTCCGCAGGCTATGTAGTACTTATATATATAGTACGTGTATATATGTACTACTGGAAATTCACGTGTAATACTCTCGGCGATAACATCCGTATGGCAACCAACAGGCTTCTGTATGATAGCCCTGTATAAGTAAAAAAAGTGACAACATATTGCGTTGTGCTGATATGGAGATGTAGAACATAGATTACAGCGAGTAACACAAAGACGTACAAAGGTAAAACGTGTGGACTGGAAAACAATAAATAAACACGTTGCTTTAAACGGAGATTATTATGTTACCGTGTAGTGTGTTGATGGGATTACGAGACTTCTGGTGCTCGCAGGTAACGATCCTGGAAAGAACAATACAATTAACTCTGTTTAGAGACACTCATCCATTAGTCAACTTGGCAGCTGTGGTATAGTTGTCTGAAGCGCAGTTGAGCCATACGCCTGGGCACGTTATTCATTCAGACAACAAAAGATAACACGGCTCTTACATTTATTGCTTCCCCCCAGTCCGGTACGGCATGCGTATTGAACGAGCCCGTATTTCCTCCTGTAATACGAAACGCCCTATCGGAAACCAATTAACCCAAATGGGCACTGTAGAACGCTTACTGTCAAAGCAGATATGCTATGTTCGTAACAAGGGGTCACTATAACAAAAATAACCCATAAAAGTAGATAAATGATAGATTGGAAAAAAAATCACACTGAACTCCAGTAGTATGAAGCAAGAATGAATAGAAACCAATTGCAGCCGTCGATTGGTCATTTTGAATTTGCATATGAAAGGTGCGCAGCAATGAAAAATAACACGCTATTGTTCTTTGCTAAGCGCCATTTTCAAGGGGTTTATTTCAAGGCTAATGTTACTTCATAAATAATATTATATGCACATAAATAGTAACATTGAATAATATTAATATTCTGAAGTCAATTGAAAAAATCCGACAGCGTCTGGGAAAACAGCGAATATTCGGACGGAACTAAAATAATTTCATCAAATTGTAAAGGTCATGGTTGCCATGGAAATTTAAAAGTGACCTATATTTATTCTCTCGAGATATATTACATACTTAACTCGCGGACCTTCAATTTTCAATCATGACGTCATAGTTGTGACGGGAAATTGAGATAATGCTTAGTTACTGACATGATGTAAATGGTTGCCTTGACAACGAGCATCTATCACCGCGCGAGACAGTGTAAAATCTTAAAGGAAATCCTTTGCGATAGATTTTATAATTGTAAGGTCCATGGCTGGTCATCCTACCCCACGTCCACATTGAATGAATAAATTACTGACGACTGTGACAAACCATGTCGGGATCCTTCGGCATACGTACCCGTATCTGTGATATAACGATCGGAGATTACTGCCTTATCAAACATGTTTAGCTTTAAAATGCGCCTATCGAGTTACCATGGAAACCATTTGGTCTTCATTATATATCATATTGATTCAATGTCAATGAATAATATACTGTTTGTAAATACGTTATTAAGCGCACTGTAATAGTAATATTATTTGATTCATTCACGAAGCAGAAAACGGCCGTTTTATAGCATCGCACTGACGCGTTTCATGGTACCATACGCACATATTCTAATGAGTTCGAATTGATTTCATGAGATGTATTGCCCTCACTGCTAATAATGGAATCTATTTATAACTGCAGTCCATGTATGAATATTTCAAGGCTGCTCCAAATGAATAAAGTAAAAAAAAAAACGTTACGAAATAGTGAAGGTCGCCGCCGGAACGATGCGTCACTCCCGTGATGCAATTTAATATAAGGATGCAATTACCGTAATATCAGTAATTACGTATTATTATGTAAACTGGATCTTTGAAAATATTTCTAAATGATGTGACAATATCGATCGCCGCAAGCGAGTGTATGCATTGCATGACTGCACTGACATGTACAACTTTGCATGTGTTACTATGCTGTCTGTTCCCACGAGGACATGAACATCGGTATCATTTCAGGATGTTACCGGCGGGAAATTGCTAGGAATGTCGCCCCATACACCAGTTGCTTAGGTGACGGCTACTGTACGTATTTGTAATATATATTCATTGAGCGCTGCGCACTAAATCGCATTTTAACATTAATCACCACAAAACACTGGATATAATAAACAATGAAAAAAAAAACGTGTAATACAATTATCGCCAGTTGCCCATTATCTCTTGATGATCACCTGATCTTACCTGTGTTTGCAAAGCCGCTGATTATTGCGCATCGACTATGTCGTTCTGCAAGCATGTACTGACGACAACGACGACCACGAAGCACAGCGTATGCACGACACAGTCGACCTTCGAAACTAAATTGTTTATGAATAATTCATTAACTTGGGTTTTCATTCAATTTTATTTCTCCTCCGGCCTACTTAGAAAATGGGATGGCATACATCTCACCATGACGGCGTTCATGTTCACCAGCCGACACATTCCGATGTAATGCGATGAGTGAATAAGGACCCTTTTTTAAGCAAGTAATGTATAGTGTTACTTATACTAATTCATTTTAGTGCGCAATTAATTTAATTTTTAATAGATTATTAGAGCGTGTCAAAAATATTAAACTTATAAAAACATAAACACTTCATTAATGTTCTTTCACCGCATTAATGACCAGACTTGCTGGTGTATGTTTTTTTTCCGTAGTGATTCATCAATATCATAGGCATGGTTGGCTTGTAATGCTATCAGATACAGTAATCAGTGTTACGAAAATATTTGCTGGCACATCATTGAATCCGCTTGAGTATAGCGCCCTCAACGCATCGATGTGGAAGAAGGTGGCGCGATGACGAGCGATCCACAGTTCACCCGAACGTTATGACTAAACTCATTATACAATGAATGTACAGTGTCAATAATAGGACATTTTAAGCATAGCGTCATGTACAGCCTAACTAAACGTTTTTCTTTTGCTCATGCGACTTTATCTTGAAAAATACGATAGAACATCAACCCTGTCCTAGGAAATGTTTGGGGCGGGTAGAGAGTGGGCTTGTAATTTTTAAAATTAAAAATGACCTGATATCGGAACAAAGGGGCAGTTTTTAGTGTAATTTGCATCTGTTCCAGAAATTTGTTTCCAGATTAGATTTCCCAAAACCCACACTCAGCTGGCATACGAGTATAATAAAATAATTCCCGGAGCTGACAAATCAATCTGCAGTATAATTTTGTCCTGCCAGTGCCTTCCAAACACGCATATTAATGCTATGATACACGAGGCAATAACAGTTGACACGTGTACCATGCAACAAGCTGCAGCAAGTTGTAATAAGATGATTGAAATACAGACATCATGTGCTCTATTTCTTGCAACATGTTGCAGGTTGTTGGTTAACAGTAACCAATCAAATATATAGCCTGATATCATGTGACCAAAGCAACTGAAGCAGACTACAAAATGTCAGTCGCCAGTAACATACTTATAGCATGTAACATGTAACGTCTGTCTTGTTATTCTATATAGGTACTGTGATGATTAATGATTCACCAGTAATATAATTATTAGAATAGAGTATAATCGAACCACAATCATTTAGAATTAAAATCCGAACATTGTGTTTCTAACTATAATCATGGATGTTCTATGGAGAAGATGTGAGTTCCCCCAAACGCCCTCAAGAGTTTAGTTTTCTATCTCACGATATGGAGTTAACACATTTCCCCCCTAATATATAGATAGTTTGCGCTCACAGACCACATTTTAAATTTATTCAGACAAACGCCCGTCGTGGTTGTAAACCAGGGTTTAAAATTTGTTTGTAAACATTTGCCGTTCACTGAAAATAATAACGACATAAAACATTTGCCGATAATAACAGGATTTTAATTAGTAAATGGTTCGTCTTGCTAATCACATTGGGTGATCAGGTCACCTCGGTATGATTGACAGACCCAACACTATGACCAAGTTTCCCCAGCCTATCGCCGCCGAATAAAATATTGTACGCAAGCTAAAGTAAACAAACGAGTAAAAGGGGTGTTATTTAGTTATTCGACGTGTGTACCGTGTTTAGCGTCGAATATTTTAAAATATATAAATAAAGGGTCCAATTTCACTTGTCTTGGAGATACAACGTGTTTACAAAAAAGGGATATTTCTCGGGCTGTCACCTCACACCCCCGCAATAAACAAACAAAAAACGAAAGAAAATCGTGACAAAATCGACGGAGAATCGGCAAGTTTGCGTTGTTTTGACGATTCCGGGTTCCGAATGCGTTCGGTGATTTAGAATATAGTAATAAAGTGGGAAAAAAGGAATCTCATGAATTTATTTTACCTCAACTTGGAAACAGTATGATTTTAGTGTATAGAGTATCTATTTTATGATCTGCACTTGAAAAGGAGTATAATTTCACAAAAATAAGTATGTGTTTGGAGTTTTTTGTTGAAAAGTTATACTTCAGCATGGGTACCATGCTGACTACTTGGAGTAACCCCCCAGGTGTTGAGTCACAGTAGTGCAGCGACAAGAGTTAAATTTGGACAAACTTTCAGGCAGGCAAAAAAACTCTCGGTCAACTTTGTTAAAGTATGTTGAGGGCGCTCTTCCAAAATCTATCTTAGTGTCTAAAGGGGGCGCATTAGTGTGTTGCATAATGTCAAGTAAGTTTTCATATCGAATGTTATTACTATTTAGTATTTATTCGTTTGTTTAATTCACACTAGCAGACCTACTCAAATACAAGACATTTCATTGGAATACTTGATACTTTTAGTATCGAACGCATATTGAAGCAATGGCAACACTTATACGTGTACTTTTCAAAATTCAAGATGTTTTGTTATCACGTGCGTGATACATAACCCGTAACCATACGTGGAAATATTTGATGTGTCTCATCATTATGTGTCATAATCTGATGATATTTACAAATACCAGGTTCAAAGTTGCACAATAAAATGTAGGTGAACATTCGACCATAATTATTGTATTCAATGTTTTAATTTGTTATCATTCAGCGGAGAAAAATCTTTATGTTTAATATAAAATATATATTTTGATAAACACAGGCCAAAAGTAGGCAAACTTTGCCTTTTGAGAACAGTTTAAAATAATAATAAAGTTCAAGTTCAAGTTCATTTCTAGTACCTGAACCCAGATTTCAAAAATAATTCAAAATAACAACATAATCAGTATATTAACTATGATTTGAAAAGATGTCTTCAACTGTGATGGCTGAATGGGCATTTAGCTATTATCGGTCACATGG